TGTGTGTGTGTGTGTGTGTGTCTGTGTGTGTGTGTATTGGGTATTTTTGAAATAGGGTCTTTCTTTTTTCCTCAGATGGGCCTTGAATTGCTATCCTCCTGTTCTCTGCCTCCTGAGTAGCTAAGAATTACAGGTGTGAGCCACTTGCACCCAGCCCCCCCCATTCTTACATAACTTGTTCCAACAAACCTTTATTCTCCAAACTGTTCAGAAGCCCCTTCTTTTTTACTAACTAGAAAATCTTCATCATTTTTGTTTGTTTCTTTGGTGTTCTTTTCTGGGGCGGGGAGGGGGGGGAGGAGACAGGGTCTTGTGCCAGGCTGACCAAGACCAGGTCTCTTGGGATTACAGGCACATGCTGCCTCACCCAGCTATCAGTAAATATCAGAGAACTTTTCTTCTTATTGGGTTCTGTGATGCCAAATCCCTTTTCAAGTGTTACATGCTTTTGGCCTCTACTTCTGGGATCTGTTAACTTTTTGTTCATTTCTTTAACTCTGTGTCCTACTGGTCTCAATGCTGAAGTGACATATTATAACCAGAACACCAAAATCCCTTATCCAATTCCTGGTTCTTACATATGGGAATGGCCTCTGGGTTTATAATGGGCAGCCATACCGGAGGCTTCAGTGCTTGCTATAGCAGTCTCACAGAAGGAACCAAGTCTCTTAAGACGTCTGCTCTGGTACATGGAACACGGATGGTGCTTTGGCTCAATCAGTTCCTAGCAAACAGACTAGGAGGACTTGAAAAATTCCAAGTCCCTGGATGCTAGTTTGAACATCACACTTCCAAAGTTCTTACTCTCTTGCTGTTCCTTACTCTTGCTAGTAAGCTCAAAAACTTTCGACAGGCCTGGCTATGAGTCCCTCAAAGGCAGTTTAACTGACCTCAGAGTATTCCACCGCAACAATAATGCCTATGCAGGGTTAATTTCCACTTCTCTAGACTGTGTATCCAACAGTTTGAGAATCATGATGTGGTTGCTGTGCTCTTTTCTGGAGTGGAAATTTAATCCTCATGGATTTAGGATTTAGCACAAAGTATCCCCAGGTTAAAAAATAATTAGTGAAACCTAATTCCATCTGGGTTTTCTAGGCCCTACAATTTCATTTGCTCTATCTGCACAGCATCTTACTAGTTCAGGCATGACTATCTTTGATAATCTGTATAAGCTATTCCATCAAAATTTCATGTTTGGTAATGTTACTGAAGAGGTGACATGTCCTGGGGTGGGGTAAACTAAGCACTGCAAATGCTTCCTCCAATATTTTATTGTTTTCTGTCCCACCTGGTCTCTCTTCACAACAGTAAACAATTTCCTTATCCCCTTTTGTGAAGCCTTGGGGCCAACAAATATCTATGCCCCTCACACACTCACTTCCTACCTCAAGTGGATTTATTAAGACCTTTTCCTAACAAAGGTAAGATCTCTTGATAAAAGGAATTCTTGTGGGTTTTTTCTATTTTTTGGTGGCACTGGTGTTTGAACTGAAATGGTTAACAACTTAGGTAGAGGCAAGCCATTAATCACGTGTAGAGGGGAAGCTATTAATCAGGTGCTGTTTTTAATTTCCTTGCTGAGGGAGGTTTAGGAGGGAGTCTGGTCCTCATAAAGGTGAACGAACAGAAGGAACCAAACTAGGATATGGTCAAATGATTGTGTGCATTGTGTTCATTCATACTCATAGATAAGAACCATTGTCTCATTTCTGTACCTTGGCAAATAGCCATTGTCTGGCTCCTGTACCCACGCTTGCTTGCTTGGCAAAGATTGCCAGGGATTTTTGCCTTACAAACCCTTCTAAAACTTGGAACAGGGCTGCTCTCTGACACTCAACAACCTGTTGGTCAGAGCAGCCGCCAGTTGGCTAATAAAGACTCTCCTTTAAAATCTTTCTTGGGTGGTCGTGCTCTCAGTTGACTGGTAACAGAACTCAGGACTTTGCGCTTGCTAGGCAGGAGCCCCAACACTTCAACTATTCTTTCAGTCCATTTTGTTCTGGTTATTTTTAGAGATGGGAGTCACGTGAACTATTTGCCTTTGTTGGCCTTGAACCTCAATCCTCCCAAACTCAGCCTCTCCAGTAACTAGCATTACAGGCGTGGGGCATCAGGGTGGCTCATCTTTCTTTTATCGTTTTTTTCTTTGCCTAAGTATTTTTGGGTAAATTCCATTTGTTAGCATTTCCTCCCTACAAATAACAGTAAACATTTTAACTGTGTTTTGTGTAGTCGGGCCAGTAATTTTAGAAATGTAAATCACAATAATATTTTTGCTGTAAGCCGGATGCCAGCAGGAAGTAGGTTCTAGCTGGAACTATCACCGGCAACTGCACACTTAGCGCAACCTGCTGCTAAAAACAACGCGCTCCTTACCCCGCCACTCGTGCTTGGGCTGCAGCGAGAACTCAGGCTCCCCGCGCGAAGCTTGCCGGGACCACGCGCGCCTAGCCGAGCTTCCGTTTCCGGCCCTGCAGGCTCCGCCTCAGCGGAAACGGCTGTGCGGAGGGAGAAGGGGGTGGGGTCGTGCGTGAGCCTCTCAGGGCACGCCGGGCGGCCGCAATGGCGCCGCCGTGCCCCCTGAACAGGTATCTGCTGCTTATGGCGCAGGAGCACCTGGAGTTCCGCTTGCCGGTGAGCCCGCAGTGCCCTTCACAGTTCCTGGCGGGGGAGGTCTGCGCGATGGGCTGGTGGAGGGTGGAGACGACCCATCCCGCCAGAGCGCACGACGGCTCTGGGCTCTGTGTGGGTCCTGGTCAATCACGTGCTCCAATCCTTGGGCCCCGGGCTGGGGGCCGAGCCAGGCCGGAGGTGTGTGAGGGACGTCCGAGACAGACCCCTTCGCAGTTGCTGAGCGTGTTCGTTCGTTACCCCGCACTGCGCTAGGTACTGCAGTTAGGCAGGTGACTGCGGCGGTCCCCCCTCCGCAGCAGTCTGCGTCCACCTGAGGGTAGACCCCGACTCGCGTGCGCCGTGTCGTCATTTAAGTGTCAGGATATGCCGTCAGGCCCGTGGAGGGACTGCGGGTAAGTTGATGGCAAGTTGGAAAAAGAATGTTTACTCTGATCAGGACACATTTTCAGAGTCCCTGTAATAGGATGTGCGGGACACCAGGGAGGGATATCATGACAGCATCTGCGCTCTGGGAGCTTACTGCTTAGGCTAAGGGGTGATCAGACACGTACGCACAGAATTACGAAATACCGTTGGTAAGTGCAGTGATAGAGACACACAGGGAAATATGAGAACACATAGACTGGGATCTCATCCACCCGGGTGGGGGATGTTGGTGTTTAAGGGGGCTTCCATGAGGCGGTGACACTTGAATGATGAGTAGTTAGCGGGGCCGAGTAGATGAATAAGCACATTCGAATAAAAGCTGCAGAGAGTGGTAAGAAGAGAGCAGGAGAGATAGATTGGACCAGAGAATACAAAGCTTTGAATACCCCCGGGGTTGGAAGAGGAATTTGTTGAGTTTTAAGTATAAAGTGGCAGAATCAAATCCCCCCCATGACTTTGACAGTGACATGGAGGATAGACTTGAGTAATAAGCCTGGTATCAGAGACTACTTAAGAATCTGGTGGAGCCAGGCATGGTGGCATCATGGATCATGGGAAAGTATTTAGGTGGTAAGAACATCGGGGCTGAATGGATTGTTGGTGGGGGGAGAGGGCCCAGTAAAGGATAACTCTTGGGGTGGATATGGGTCTCCATTTAAAATAGAGAACACAGGCAGGTGTTAAGATTTGTATTTTTGCTATGCTGAATTTGAGGTGCTTGTATAACATTAAGTGGAGACTCTGACCAGGAGGCAGTAGATGTGTCACTATACATAGAGCACAATAGAACAGTCTGGTGAAAAATATTTGGGAGTTTTCTGCATATGAAAAATAGGAGGGAATGAAATTACGTGAACTGTAGGTCAGAGACAGATACTTGGAGGTATTGACCTTGAGGGAAAGTCAAAAGAGGAAGCTATATGAGTGTCAAATAAGGGCCTCAGACATTAGGAGGGAACATACAGGAAGCAGGGAAAAAATCGGTAATGTCGACTGTATGTGGTTTTGGTCAAAAATGAAGGAAAAAAAGGTTCAGTTACATTTTCAGATGGTGATTAGTTAGGGAATTCTACTAGAGGAAGAGAAGAAAAACTCCCATATAGGAGGGGTCTCAGAAAGACTAATCTTCCCCATCCCTTTTTTAAGAGGAAGCAACAAGATGGTTTAGAAAGATAATTCTGGAGTACCAGACAAAAGATACAACTTAGAGGATAGAGTGGAAGTAGGGAAAAGTGGATTAGTGCCCAAAGCAAGGCAGTGCAATGAGAATGTAGTGGTGAGGCTGTGGTCTGGAGAATAGCATCCCTGGTACTTGCTGATTTTACCTGCTTCTTCCCTCTGAAATTCTTCTTAGTCAGTGTCTTACCCTGGTGCTAGTTTAATCTTCCAAAAGGCCAGTTCTCTTTTATGCCCTCATTGTCCCAGTGCTAACCCCATAGTCTAGCATTCCAGGCCAGACTGCATGGCTCTCTACTTTGCTCTTTCACCTTCCCCCAGTCCTCAGTGTAGCCAAAAGATCCCCTGTCATTTTTTGAAAGATTTTGCTTTCTGTTATCCCTTTAGGCTGTTTATCTTCTCTCGTCTACTCTGTAATGTATGGATTTTTAAAGTTTATTTTTATTAGCACGTAATAGTTGTACAGGTGATACATTGTGATATTTACATGTGTGCTCACAATATGTTTTTGTAATCCATGGATTTTACATGGTCAGTGTTCCTTAAAATTTACTCACATATCTGTTTACTTTAGGTTTGTATTTTTTTACTTGATTCTTTTTAACATCTGCAGTTTCCTGTGCCAGGGGACAACTTTGCTCTTATCCCCTTCAATAGACAAAGCATATTTATGTTAAAATATGTGACTGATAAAAGGAATCCTATGGGTCTGTTTCTGTTGTTTATTCTTGTTTTTTTTTTTTTTTTCACATTTATGTCCTGGATTTTTAAAAAAATTGTCCCAGATACTGTATTTGAAAATTTTGTTTGAAGAAATAATTTGAGGCCTAGGATGATGTACATTCTTGTTTGAGGAAGAATGGAGCTTGTAAGAGCATTAGCAGTCCAGGAGTCACTTTAACTCATTTGCAGGTGCTAAGTTCTGTTTCTTTTTTCATTTACACATACTCCTAGTCATCCTAATCAAACTGTGTTTTTAGTCTCCTTTCCTCCCCTGAGTAGCCCTATATTCTTTTGTCCCTCCAACTCCATTAGGCTGGCGGAAGGACTGTTCTTGCTCACAGCTACTTTTGGAGTTGGTAAATGTCTTAATGAAAAAGTGGCTGTACCTTGAAATTTCTGTCGTCTTCTCGATTTTGGTTTGGTAATTCTTATTGCCTCTCTGTGCCTTCAAGTAGATATCCAGCTTTTAAGATTCTTCTCAGAAAGAGTCTAATCTAAATTACCTAGTTTGCTATCCTAGAAGTGGATATTCTCTACCATTGATTTTACTCTCATTTTTCAGTTTCCTTAAATCTTCCTTTTTAAAACAGAAGTAATCATTTCCTCTCTTGTACTATTAATACTTTTTTGCTTTCATTTTATTTTATTTTATTTTTTGGTGGTACTGAGGCGTGCTAGGCAGGTACTCTACCATTTGAGCCACTCTGCCAGTCTATTTTGGGGTTGGGTACTTTTTGAGATCTCTTCTTTCCCTTTAAGTTGCTAGGATTACAGACATGAGCCACCAATGCCCAACTGCTTTTTTTTTTTTTTTTAAGAGCACTTCACATTTTGGTTGTGGGGCTAAATGTTTTTGTTAATTCGACTAGACTTTCAGCTCCCTGAGGATAAATATATATTTATTTTCACATTGCTCAGTACCTTATACATATTAATTGCTCCATAGATGTTGAATTGAATGAAATAGGATCCCTCTATGGGAAGGCAATCAAAGAATTCTTAGTTTTTGGGTTCATCTACTGCCTTGGAACTAGTCCAGAAAGCTATAACAAAGTAGAGCATGGTGGTGCACTTCTGTAATCCCAGCTCTGGGGAGACTGAGGCAGAAGGATTGGGAGTTGGAGACCAGACTGGGCTACAAAGTGAAAACTTGTCTCAAGAAAACAGAAAACAACAATACTAATAAAAAAATCTGTTAATGGGTAGCTGCCTTTAGAAATTAAAATGGGAGATTAGGAATGGAAATGTGGCCC